GGTGTCACGTTCCTAGAAACGTGTCTATCCAAATTGTCATATCTCAATATCCTATGTATAAGGAAAATGGAAGAGCTGAAAGTATTGAATCCGCTGAGATGAGATGAAATCGTCAAAGAAAGGTGATAGACAAGTTACAAGGGAATGACGGAGTTGTGAGTCCGACCAAGGAGGGTCGTGACATTTTAAAGTGAGAAGTAGTAGTGTTGGGTGGAGTATCATCTCACTCGCGTGGGTTGGAATGTTGCGATTGACAGGAGTGGAACCTCATGGTTCTTCTTCCTTGCTTTCTCACGCAATGAATTTGAACTCCAAAATTTCTTGGAAGTTCGGCCATTGGGAGTTTGACTGGCGACTTGGGTTACTTCTGCCTACCCCACTGGAAATGGGACGAATATGGAAAAGAAGAAGAAGAAAGATACGTAGGCAGAAGTAGAGCCAGAGCTTTACCACAGACAGTGGTTATTTCAGAAGTCCAGAAGATGGTGAACAGGAACTGGAAGTTTCGCATGGGAACAACACCTGTACCTAGGGTACAGTTGGATGTTCCTACGATGGAGGTTGTTGAGTTCTTATGGGCAGGAGGGCATGGAGCTGATAAATTCGTTTCTAGAGATCCTTCATTGCCTGAACATGTTGCTAATTCTCGATTGTGTGCATTGAGCATGAAGTCGAAGATATTAAGAGCTCAACCTTTCTTTGAGAAGAGTGAATTCTCGAAGATTGAATCATTGGATTCATGATTTGAAGGACGGCTTTAGTATAATCGAAATCACAAGTGTGGAAAAAGATTTAGATAGCCGTATTCCTCTTATAGAAGGAGGCTCGTGTGTGGTGGGAATACTCCAGTCAAATCCAAGGATGAGACCTCGATGGATTTGGTGAACCTACTATGGAGATGAAGAGATTGCTTTGGGGTCTCACCTCATGTGAGCACGTTTGAGTAGAAATCTTTCATCTGAATCATAAATGGATCAGGGTAGAAAGAGGAAGGTGATGAGTACAATTCGGTAAAAATGATCCTTTCTGACATCCCTCTCAAGGAATCGTGTTGGCAATGTTGCTTCTCGATTCTAAGGAAAGAAGGAAGATATCAACAAGTCAAAGAGTTTGGATTCTCATCATGGGAGAGCTGGAAGAGAATCAAATCACAAATGGATACAGCAGCTATTAAAGGATATTCCTAGTGGAAGAAAGAGATTTCTCTTCCTCTGCTTGTTTGGATAGAGCTAATGGCTTGGCTGCCAACCTGGTTGTGGAGGGTGAAGCATGGGAACCCGAGTAGTAGATGCGGGCCCAGTACCCACACCCTTTGGAGTGACCGGTATGAAATTTTGGGGACGAAATTTTTATAAGGGGGTAGTATGTAACACCCCGACCCCAAATTTATCCCATGTTTTAATTTATTTAAGTGGAATTGAGAAATTACCCGTGGGATAGGGGTTTTTTAGTCATTTTCTTATCCAGAAGGACTTTGGGAATTCCGGTTGTACCGTTGCGTAGAGCACGGTGAGATGAGTCCGTAGACACGTAGTGGGCTCGAATCGGAGTTATAACGAGAGAGATATGATCAAAAGAAGCTCAGTGACATAATCGTAAATATTTGGAAAATAGATTTTTGGTTAAAAGACGGAATTGCCCCCGTCTCTCTCTCTCTCTCTCTCCCGCGCGTCTCTCCCTCTCTCCTCTGGTTTTCGCGACGGCGGGAACAGCCGGCCACGTTTTGGACGGCCGTGCTCTCGTCCGGCCACCAAACTTGACGGGGCTGGTACCAAAATGATCGGCCCGCCGTCCTCTTCCTACCCTAGCCGGGCCCAGTGTGAGGTCGCACGCGGCTTTGGGTTAGCCGGCACGTTGACAGACCCCATACGGGGCCGGGTGCGT